GCCCTTTCTTCCGGAGTATTGCCAGCATCTGAGACGGAGGTCCTGGGAGAGGAGTGAACTGTCTCCGGTTGTTTCGCTTTTGTGATGGAGGGATATTGGGTTTGTATTGTTCATGTTGCATGAACTTTGGGCATAGGGTGCTCAATTCCTTAGGATCAGGGGACTCGTGGACATTGTCAGCTATGACATCTTTACCCTTTTGGTTGAGACCGGAGGGCTCCATTTGAATCATCACCCCTGGTCTTGGATGGCGAAATGGAGTCATGGTGAGTTGGTCTAAGCGGACTGACAGATGTTCCACTTGTTTTGAGAGTTGTTGAAGAAAGGCGAAGACTTGCTTCATTTCGGTCTCCATGTCCGCCACACGAGTTGTCATATCTTTTTCAACCATTTTTACTTGGCGGGTTGGTATAATTCGTAATTACCTGTGAAAAAAAATGGCAACGAATGAGTATAAAATCTCATAAATGATCAGTCCATGACTTAGCCTAGTATTGCATCTGTCTATCACGCATTTTTTATTTGTAAAAAATATCAGAAGCAAAAAAAAAAGTTTTTATTTATATATTCCTTACAAACGGCGTCCCCGGGGTTCGAACCCCGGTCGCCTCGGACCACCTTCACTCCCGGGTACCACCAGGCCGAAGCGCTGGTAGTGTTACCGAGGTGCCTTTTTTTTTTATTTATACACAAATTTTTCCTTTTTTTGAAAACGACAAGAAATCGTATGGGAAAACAATGATTTGTAATGTGTTTATAAAAATAAAGGTACGAATTGGAAGTAAGTATTCTAAAAAAGTTTTAGTAACTATTTCTTCCAAAACGATTACGGTATTAAATTCACAACTAACCTAGACAATCATGGACCGACCGGGATATATAAAAATAAATAAATTGCAAAGTGCATGAATAGAAAACTTACTTTACCATGAACCATGGCAATCACAGAGACATACGCATGAGGAGTGAGGTTCGATTTCTATTTAGACTGGTTCAGCAAAATGAAATTAAAAGGGTGCCTGACCGTCGCAGTCTCGCGTTGGTGTCAAGTCCTTTTAACCTCGGCCAAATCGAAAGGAATATCTTATAGTCACGCGAATAGCGGCTAAAGATACTTCTTTACGATTTTTAGAAATAAATTTCGGGAAAAAGAAAGGCAACCTCTACATCGCGGGCTCGCGTTCGAGGTCGTATCTTTCTTAACACCATCCTAACATGCCTTATCGCGGCCCAGGTCCGGCAGCGTGGTTGTGTGTGCAACGGTGTAGTGCTAAATCATTAAAGCATGCACAACAAATTATAAACAATCAATTTGAACCTGCAAAAACAAATAACACCTTAATGTCAGGTTCATACCTGGAGTCCTTGCTGCCAAACAAAAATCATTTTGAACAGGATAAAATTTTTGGCCTAAGCCCACTTTTTTTTTTATAAAAAAACAACAAGTCCCCAGCGGAGTCGCCAGTCTGTCGCGACCGAACTCCCGAGCCCTCTTTTATCGAACATGCAAAGAGAAGGGGGGCTCGCCTGGTACGTGCTAAGTCTAGGTTCGGGACTTAACTCGGGCTCTCCCAAGCCCATACCATATCGCGACTTAGGGTTTAAGTTTTTAACATGCAAGTGGTTTATATCGAGGAGTCGCCACTAATCGATTTGGGGTGGGCCGATTAGAAACCCAAATAGGGTGATGGGAGAATCACCCTATTCCTACGAACCAGTGATTAACTAAATTCGGGGACTTGGTTACACTAGTTGGATAACTAATGCCCTTCCGGTACCATTTTACCCTATTCATTTCTGAAAACATTTGTCAGGCAATTTGGATTGATTTTAGGACCTTTCTCCTAATATGTGAGGTGATCAAGCGAGTGCATAATCAGGAACGATCAGCAGTCAGGAACACAGCAATTCATGCAGCCTAAGGTTCTAACCTTAACTAAGTCAGATGACATTCAAAAACACAACATTCATGCAATTGTATTAAAAACATGCATAATAATACAACGGTAATAAAAACTAACATGCAAATACTACAGCGCAACCTCAGGCTTGTCTAATTTAAATAAGACAAAAACTTACAAAATAATATCACATTAGATTAAAACAACAACAATATATCACATAAAATAAAAAAAAAAAAATTTTAAAAAAAAAATAAAAAATAAAAAAAATAAAAAAAAATAAAATAAAATACGAAATATTTTTTAAATAAAAAAAAAAATAAAAAAGAAGAAAGAAAAAGAAAGAAAAGAAAAAAAACTTTTTTTTTTTGAAATTTTTTTAAATTTTTTTTTTTAAAAAGCAGTAAAATAAAATAAAATAAAAATAAATAAAAAAAAAGGGATCCGGACCGGGTCGGAACCGACCCGGGTCAACGGATCCGACTCTGGCGTGCTGACTGGGTTGGATCGGCTGAACCGGCCTACTGGACCGACCCGGTCAATCTGATCCGACTCCTGTTGTTGACTCGGGCCTGATCGCCGAACCGGCCTACTGGACCGACCCGGTCAATCTGATCCGATTCTGCCGTTGTTGACCCGGGTCGGCTGGACCGACCCGAGTCAACAGATCCGACCCGGGGCGTTGACCGGGTCGGGTCAACTGAACCGGGTCAGGCCGAACCGGTGGGAGCAGCCCCCGTCGAAGCCAAAAACGGCCTCTCACCGGCCGACCTGCACGGCGCCGCCCCCAAATCGGCCTCCCGGGAGTAAAACCAAGCCTCTCCACCCACCGGGTCACCGTCCGACCGCTGTTCGCCGGCCGGCGACCAAAACAAAAACCGGTTTCATTGAGGACTTTTGTCGAACAGATGGTGTGCGCTTCCAAAAACAACAAATCCTGACCTGTTCCGGCGAACCGGAGGATTCGGGCGAATCAACCTACCTTCGGTGAGGACACACGGACGGCGGGGATGACGGTATGGGCGGGATTCGCGCGAAACGGCCGGCGCGAGTCCCGGCCATACCGAGCAGAAAAACAGAGCAAAACAGAGGCGGTTCGGGCCGGACTAAGAGCTCACCGTCGACGGCGCGTCTGGGGCTTTCCGGTTGATCGGGGGGCGACGGCGACGCGGCTGGGAACCTGCAAAAACCGACTTTCCCTTCTTTCTCTCTCAATTTTCTCTCTTTCTCTCTCAATTTTTCTCTCTCTGTTTCTCTCTCAATTTCGCCGACCGGGGCTCTCTCTCTCCCTCTGGCTATTTATAGCCGGACGACGGACGATGGCTTCCCTCTCCGTGGCGTCTGCGTGACGATGGCCTGCACCGGCCTAGGCTCCGCGAATTCCGCGGCCATAGGCCGGTGCAGAGGGGGTGTCAGTTCCGGGATGCAGAGGAGAGAACAGATAACCGAGAGAGAGGAGGGGATAAGGGCGAGCCGGGAAGATGGCGAGGACGGGACTGGCAATTAATGCCGGTCCGTCAGCGTGCCTCATCCGGCCCCGGTGCAGCCGGATAGCGACGCCGAGGAGGCGCCGCCGTGCGTCACGCCGGCTGCCGTCGAGCACGGTAGGCGAACAGGGGCGGCGAGAGCGACGGGGAAGAAGGAAGGAGGAGGGCCGGGCCAGGCCAGGCCCAGCCGGCGCGGAAGAAAGAAGAAAAAAAGAATGGGCTGGGCCGCGCGGGGAGGAAGAAAAGAAAAAGAAAAGGGAGCGGGCCGGGCCCGTGCGAAAGGGAAAAAAAGAAAAGGAAAAGGGGCCGGGCCCGGGGGGGGAAAAAGGAAAAAAAAAGAAATGGGCCGGGTCGGCCCAGCTCCGACCCGGCCCGACTCGATTTTTTTTTTTTTTAAATAAACTCTATAATAGACTCTATTAGTGCAAATGTACCTAATTTCTATATGCAATGCATTTAAATTGAAATATTTTTGTTTTAGGAATTAAAGAAAATTAATTCCTAAATTTTGTGCAATTAATTTTGGGCAAATTAAAAATAGGTGTCAACAGCGAGCAAGTACCTCTAGGCTAGCAGTGGCACTTCAATGCCATTGCTGTCCCGGGGGGACGCGAGAACCTCCCAACGTGCCCGCTCCACCCGAGCAACGGCAAGGATTCCATGACAACAATGACGAGACACAATAACCAGATGATTATTCGGAAACGCATATGGGCCGCCTTCCCTCTCCCCCAGGCAACGCCGACACCCCTCTCCACAATAAAACCCCTATAATGATGCCGCGCAAACTTCACAGGGACGAACATCCACTGTTTGGAAGACATTCGAAAACGAGTTCTCCCCGATGATACGAAATTGGCAGTGTGCACGATCTGCGAGACTAGGTAATTCGCCAAATTCAGTTGAATTTCCCTCTTTTTATGCTCACCTTATTCATTCTTTATAAAGACGGACTTTTGAATCCGTTGTCCACCCCTGAAATTTCCAATATATCAATCTCTTGTAATACTATCTCAATGAGTAAGGGTGAAGTAAAATTGCAATCTAACACGGAGATGGAGGGAATTGCTTTCTTCCGCCAGCATGCGCACCGCTATCATAATGAAATATCCGGATTCCACTTCAGTATTTATGGAAATATCCGGATGTCACACCATAGTCTCTCTTGCTCGAGTCGGCTTCATTAACAGTTCAACATCTACAAAGCCAAGAAGGCACAAAGAAAACTTCGTGCTTGAGCAGCCAAGAAAAGTAATCACTTGTCCGGGCTTACTGAGTTGCGATCTTTAAATAATGAGAACCCGATGCAACCCAGTCCTGGCTGACCCGTCCTAACAAAGTCATATGCCAATGAAGCCAACCTGAATGGTGGACGAGCATATCCGGCATACCATGCCCGTGATCGGCTCTAGATCGGAGTCGGTGGGTTTCGTTCTCCACCAACAGTTGTACCACGTTCAGGGCAATGCAATATTTCCTAATGAGTGACTCTGGCTGGTCACATCACTCACAACTTCACATTCAAGTGCCACAAGCATATACATTGAAGGAAGTTCTTGTCAAAGCTCATTTTCATATCAATTTTCATATCATTTTCATATCAATTTCTAACTGGTCGTCACAAAATAATGTGCAGAATGCAACAGTATGGACTGATGGAGGCTAGCCAAGACTCGTATTATCATGACCCATGCCAAATGCGACATGGATCAGAACCTCGAGACCATAATGGAGTGATGATCGAATCAGCCAACGAGTCAGAATTAGTTGTGTACTCCTCAGTTCTTCGGTACATCAAAGCAGGCGCAATTTTCCGGTAATCGAATCAACTGATGCCTTTGGTCCTGCTCAGAATCAGCAACAAATATACAGAGTGACAAAAAGGAAGAAAACAGGCTACTCTCTGGAGTCTAACTTTTATCATTTCCACCCTCTGGTTTTCGAAATTTTAATTGTATTGAAATTGGTCCCAATTGCTTCCTATGCCATATGCTCAGCATAAAACGGGCCGTTGCATCCAATTAGTAGCCTTTGGAGTACATTATAATAGAATGCCGTGGAACAAAGAGAGCTTTAAAAAATAAAATTGATGAGCATACCAGGTCCTATCGCAAGCACAGTCCTTGAACCAGCAGCTACCTGAACAACATATAGTGATGAGGACCTGATTCCTATATGCATCTTTGATGGAGATAAACTGTAATCCAGTATGAAAATTAAGTTGCAAGCGACGAAATGATATGAGCTTGAAGCAATTAGTTTAACCAACTTCAGAATATCAGAATCACGAAAGAGACATGATATTTCCTAAATTAAAGTGCTTTTGCACAACCTTGTATTTGCTTCCTTTCTTCTATTGAGGATAAAAGGCATGGAACAATAATATGCAGCCTTCGCTTCTATTGCCTATGTCCAAACTAGCAGATAAATTTGAAGGTATCTAGATTCAGCAACTCAGCCATATTCCTTAAAATACAGGGCATTAGCCTCCAAAACAAACGAGAAAAAACTTCAAGAGAAGATAAGCGGGAAATAAGAAATCAAAATTTTCAACATAAAAGGTACAGATGCATAATGGTGAAGTTGAACAATCCCACTAACCCATTATCACTTCTAGGTGAGATCCTTTGCATCAAATACCCTACTTGAGAAAACATCAAAAACTTAAAGGAGCTGAAACTATCGAATAATATGACTGCAGTAGTACAATATTTTGAGTATATTTATATGCTGAGCTCGTCTTTCAGAATATTTTGCAGTTGCCATCATGAAGCAGGTTATTAAGAAAGGTTCTTACACATGCCATAAGCAAGAACATGCATATGCATACCTGAGTTCTTCCAGCATCAGTGACTACAAAAGTTGGAAGGCCAGTGCTCTCAGCGGCTTCCCTTAGCTGATTCCTGGTGAAGAGCAAACCTCAATATTGAATAGCTCCAGCTTATAAGAGCAGTCTTTTGAGTACGAGAGAAAAATTCACCTGCTTACATTTCTTGTTGATTCTTGCATGTACAGACGATCTTGGGCTGCCCGCTTTGCTCCCACTGTCTTAAAAGAAACTGATCGCTACAAAAGAGAATGAATCATTAAAACCAACTTGTTGGCATTAAACAAAAATAGAAGTATTATTTGAGAGCAATTCTCCATAAAGTAAATTCTTCACAACCAACCTCTGCATCAGTTCTGCACACATCCCCATGGCAGCATCTATAAATTAGTCAGAAAAACAAGAGAAAAGACCGTTTTACGATTTCAATAACATCATCTGAAGGAGCACAAGTCCATTTCCCAGCATATTGTGAAATTAAGGTAACTCACGAGCACATTGAGATGCCACTTTTCCTGGTCCCATCTTCAGATCTTGCCTAACAACCAAAACCCGCCACAAGCATTTCAACCGAATTAGAGCAGACTATGTATAGACCAATCTTCGAGCTAGAATAAGTTTCCCCATTATCTCCGATTTTCCTTTTCCTTCATTGATAAACGAAAAAGTAGCGCCCCCGGACGACGTGCCCCCCCTCCCAACCAAACACCCACACATGACCCAAAAAAAAATTCAGCAAATTCTTTGAATGAATCAAAATTTATAGCAGCAATTCTATATCTTTCAAGCTTGGTGACCAAGATTTCAGAATCTCCTTAATCAACTTCCTGACATATCGAAGACTTTGATAATCTTTAGCCGCAAGAGACTACAGTACTAGCTTTTTTAGCTGGAACAAAAGAGAAGCTGTTGCAGCAATGTCTGATCACTAGAAGACTCAAATTACTACCATTTTAAGCTCTTGCTCGCTGTCACTCGAGACCAAAGACACCTCCTTGTGCTTTCCACGCAAAAGATTTCTCCTTCTAACGGGGTTTTTGGCAGGCTTTGTCAAATCCACGATCCACCCAAGAATGAAACCCATCACAAGGCCAGGAATGTAATTCTGGGGTCTGAAACTCGATCCCAACCATTCTTCCTCTTGCTTCTGCTTCTGCTGCTGCTCCAGTACGACACTTCTAAAATCATCAATCAGATACACCCAGAAAAAAAGAAAACATAATAAGAAGAAAACGAAAGCTTTGTCTAATTTGCAAAGGATGTGCATGAAACCCAGTCCAGTTTTGCTTAAAAAGATTAATGCTTTTGGCTGCATGGGAACTAATGAACACTGGGTTACGAAGAAAGACACCATCTGTTTTTTTTTTGCGTGGACTGGGTCTTGCTTCGTCTTCATGGAACTTCTCAGGACCAAAAAAACACTTTGGATGCTTCACCTTTGGCTGAGGTTGAGTAGAAGAGTCCAGCATTTGATTCCTCCGCGAGGTTGTCGACAGTAATAAGCGACAGGACAGTGAGTGATCAAACCGAAAGTGGAAGAGGAGAGATCGCAGGTCGAAGGTGAAGAAAGACTGAAGTCCGAGGACAGCCGAAACGACCTACCAACTAGTCGTTTTTTCGGTTTCTGCATGCCAGTAGATCTGGCGGCCCGACGGGCTTGGACAGTTCTTTTGAGCCCAATTCCAACTACCATATTTTATGGCAAATATGAATTTACTTTTAAATAAATAGAATTTTATAAGCATTTCCCTAATGATGGATAGCTTTCCATTTATCCATCTTATTCTCTAATTTTGAAATCTATGTAAGATTTTTTGTATATGTACATCTAAACGCATGATGCCCATGTTGGCAATATCGGGCCCGGTCCATGCTTTCATCCTAGGCAAGCCTAGGAAGGCTTGGGTTCAAAGAAGCACGCCCAACAATCAGGTCTACATATTTTAGATTCGAATCAAGAAACTTCATCATTTGATTGGTAACTTTCTAAAAGGCGTAAGCGCAAATTAGTAGTGTCATCAGCTTTGAAAGACCTTAAGATGTCTAAGTTCGTTCGTGTAACTCGAGAGGCTCAGAGATGCCATGATCACTCTTTAGTTTACTTGGTTGCGATTAGAGAATTTGATTCCACTCAGTGTTGCTGAATCAATTCACGTTTGAATATTTTCTCCATTTCACAAGCATTTAGTACGTAGGTGCACAAAAGTCCAACCACCAGCCATTTAAAATAAGACAGTTACACAAGCATGAACGATGTCTTCGGCCTAGGCAAAGACACAGGGAAACTGCACTTAAATTCAGTGTTATAATCACCTACACGAAGGACCTCACCTTAAGAAGATGAATATCACTTCGACTAGCAATTAGAATGCTTGGAATTGGAGCTAAATCAACTTTTTTAACGTTAATAATCACACATAAGATACAACTAGGACAGCAAAAACAAATGTGTCATTTGCACATGAGTCTGAAAATAAAGGCACTCATATTTACTATCACCAAGTAAAATGTTTCTAGTCTTCACATCAAGCATATTCAAAAGCTGCTTTACATACATATCAGTAACAAGCCCTAATCCATACTTGTCTTCGTCTTATACAGGTAAAATGGCTTAACACAGGAAATAAATGCTAAAATGAAGTAGGCTAGATAGAAAAGGGGCACCAAAGGGATACAACTCTCTCTTTTTTTCAATTTAACTTATACAAAAATGAATGATAAAGAATAATCCACCCCCACCTTCCCACGAATAGCCTCCCTCAGGTCAGTCCTCAGTCCTCCCAGTTGAATTCAGCAAAACAACCACTGCACCTGAACAAGGGCACTTCTTTCTAACATACATAGCTAACTTCAGAATATAACTCATCTGCTTGCTCAAGCATGACAGGTGGGACTCGAGCCAGAGTCGAGCGAAGCCATGATCGCAGCAAAAGAGGCATATGCTCTTCGGCCTGCCACCTGTTCAAAGAAAGACCGGGCTTTGATATCTTGCATTCGATTTATGGCGACTAGAGTTTCTTTGGAAGATTATAGGTTTTCTTCAGAAACTTGGAAGCTGCTTCATCGTTTCGGTAGCACAGAACACGAAGAAGCGTGTTTGGTTCGGTGGGGTTCCACTGTCCTGAAGTTGCTGGTAGTGGAAGCCTAGACCTAGCAGAAGACCCATAACTCTCGAGAGTGGCACGCCTGAAACGCTCAATAAGACTCTCTGTATCTGTTCGGAAAAGAAGTAGAATGCTTCTTGCAATGGTGGAAGCCTTATCGATCAATTCAGCAGGTAAACCATCCCCATTTGCCCAGAACAAGTCCTTCAGAGCTTTGAAATCGTCCTCTATTATAGGAGACTCCTGCTTAGAGAAAGCACGAGATGGACCTCCAGCAAGCAATACTAACAAGAACCCATCAAAAGAAGCTTTCATAACGCACGTTATAATGCGTGTCCGAACTCTTTCATGCACTGTGTCTGAGATGATCATCAAGTATTTCTCCAGCTCCTGAAGGAATGGCTCAATTCTAGAAGATGAAACTTCACCAACATAAAGACCATCCCAAAGGACATGGCTTAGATCATGGAATACGATTTTGTAGGCAACCGCTTCACAAAGCTGTTGGATGCCCTCCAGACAGGCAGGAGGCGAGAGTTCAAATTTCTTCCCAAGACCATTTGAAAAATCCTCTGTATTAGCAGACTCGGAGTTCCTTAGATGGGTGATTACTCTTTTTTCCACAACTTCCAACTGTAGCCATATTTGCTGCAAGGTATTTACGCGAAGACATAGCTGAGAAACTCCAAAAGAATTGTCACCATTCATTGTCGCGACCTGAGAGTTCCTCTTCTGGATACTCGGTGACTTGTCTTTCTTCTTCCCAAATCCTTGAAACTTGGATCCCATAGTACATCTGGTTAGTGCTGGCATTGTGGGAACATATGTATTTCTCGATCCTAAGAAGAAACGATAGACAATGGTCATGTTATAATATATCCTAATAATAAAGAACGTTATTTGTGAACTTGAGGTTTACTAACCACATCCAGATTTTGCCTTGGTTACATAATACTGAAGACATCTGTCAAGGCCAGTCATCAAGTCAGGAAGCAGTGCCGGATGCATCGGGATCGGAAGCTGGAAATATGCATCTAAAGTTTCGTCTATTAGCCGCAGCACTTCAACAGCAGACGGAGCAAATCCCTCTTTATTTGCTTGTGGAGTCCATGTCTACATCATCATCGGAAAGCAAGGCAAAACATGACATTAGAAGATGAAAAATGAACAAGAATGAAAGAATGCCAATGTTGGAATTTCAGTGTGTAGCAGGAAGCAATGAGTGGGGGAAAACTTTAATGCACATAATATATGAGGTTTAAAATGCTTGTGATAAATCTACAATAATAAATCACGTGATCCTAACAGTGAAATAGACACGTATCCATCGACACTCTCCTTGTTTCCCCTATTCCGGGTACCAGATGGGAGGGTAGGCAAGGGACTTAGGTTCATCACTCTTTTACTTTGAAAACTCTAAATGCACATATATGAGGTTTAAGCTGCTCGTGATAAATCTACAATAATAATAGATCACATGATCCTAACAGCAGTTAGACGCATCCATCTACACTCCCTCTTTCCCCTTTTACGGGTACCAGAGGGAAGGGTAGGGAAAGGACTTAGGTTCATAACTCATTTACCTAGTTGTTATTAAGTTGTCATCACTCGACAGTTACAACGCATTTATGCTTCTAAGAGATTGACAAAACATATCAAATTTAACGACTCGTACGAGATTGACAAATTCCCAGGCAACAGCAAATCACCTTTGGATAAGCCACTCATACGAGATTAACAGAACATATTAAAATTAACCTATATATAGAAGGAGAAAATTAGCGAAGTGCTGCTTCACATAGCAACAGTATGTCATATCTTCTACCAAGCAGTGATCTTACAAAATTGCGGCAATATTGAAGGAAGCAGCATCTTGCCATTCAAATGAACATTGTAAAGTCAAGATTCATCATTACTGATAATAGACCTAGCATCTGACAAGACTGATCCAAACTGCAAAGCATACCTCTTGTTGCAAATTCCTATCCACCCATTCCTTCAATCTGTCTATTCTTGTCTTGATCCATGCTTTGACCAGATTGGCTATTGCAGCTTCAGCCTCAAAAGGAGGCATCTCTCGGATTATTGCCTTCCCACCATCATCACAGTCCACAGAATCTTCAACAGCAATTTGCACCAGATCCTTTTCCAGCTTATCCGCTTCTCTCAGCACTAGAACGGCATCTGGGGTCAATTCAGTTAAACCAGATATCAATTGCTTTAGCTCATTTCCATAACAAGCATGAAGTGTGGCAACCGCAACCCCTGCTGCAAAAGGATGCCACTTCTTCAGTATGGGACTGAAAATCTTCTTCTCATTAAGTGCCAGTTCACCCACATCTTTTGCCAGGATTGCAAGCACTGGAAGAGGATTAGATTGGCCTTTTGAGGCTCTCCTGCTTGAATCTGCTTTCTCCATTATCTGTAATAGAATCAACACAGTTCATGTCACAGATGCACAAGAATACAGCCCTCCAAGTCAAAAGATTAAATATAAGCTCTGCGAAGATTTTCTTTTGTCTGACTCCATTTTTTAGCAATCAATATATATTGCTTCCAGGGGACGGTACAATTAGACTCTCTATGACTTCCTCTTACTATTGATATAATAAATTTCATCAATATCAAACAGCCAGCATCTCAAGCATGTGTGGTCAAAGTATCCTGAACTTAAGTCCAAGGTCTCCATGCCATGTCAGGTGACAACATAGTATAACTTTAGAACAATGGAAGATGATAGATTTTTATCAAATATCAGCCTTCTATGTATTGGAAATGCCCTGAAGCAGATTATAATTTATGTTATGAAACTTGCCTGAGCAAAAGCAGTGCGCAATGATGACCTAATGTAAGTATCGATCCTGCTGCGAGCTACATCAACTTCGGCTTTCCTCCTCCGGCGATACTCATTTGAAATATCTTCAACTAAAATTCTAGCTGCCACGACACCAAGAGAAACAATACCCTGCATTGTCTCAATGTTACCACTATCAAATGTGTCGTGATAAGCAAGAAGTCTTTTCTCTGCCCAGCCTAATATTGATGTCAATGTAGAGCTCAAAATCTTGGAATACTCTGGATCCTTTGTTGCTTTGGCATCTTTAGCAACTTCAGCAAGCACACTATCAGCAGCATAAAGCAGGTCCATTTCCACCTGTTCAGTTGCCACAAAACGGTGAAACAGAACCCACGTAAAGCAAATATTGTGCAGCATTTGATCGATTCCAAGGATTCCCCATGTCTTTTTTATCTGCTCCATAAGCTCATCCACTTCCTCTATGATAGAAGTTTCATCATTAACATCAAAGCAGGCTTCTAGAAGCATTTCATACAGTCGAAGATTCAGAGGAATCCCATCTGCCCAGTGACAAGAATCAAGAGACCCATCAATGGTTCTTGCAGCAAGAGAAGTCACAGCGCTACGAAGAACTTGCATAGATTCATTATTCCTCCCTGTTTCTAAGGGCCTATCA